CGTGTTCTGTACGTGCGCTGAGCCAGCACTTTCAGTTTTTTTTTTTCCCAGCCCGTTCCCACATGGTCGCAAATGCTGCTTTCTAACTGCGCCAGATTTTTAAAGTAATTCCCTTGCGAAGGGGGGGGGGGGGGCTAGGCTATCAGTGGATGGGGGGCAGCTGCTCTGTCAGATGGCCACAAATCAAATTGCTGCAGTTGCAGATCTTCAAATCATCTGCCGCATTCCCTGAGCATGTGTCAAGAGCGCGTTAAAACCATTTTTCCGTCTACAACCTAACGTGGACGGGGAGTTTTGACTAAATCGCAAAGTATGTAACGTTGGGAATATAACTTAATATATGGCAGTATATCTAAGACCACAAACTAGGAATATATTTCCTAATATATAGGATATATATCTAAGAGCACAATGAACTATGTAACGTAGGGAATGTATCTTAATATATAGGAAATATCTATAGGAATATATATATATATAACAGCAAGAACTACGTAAGTTCAGGAATATATCTTAAATCGATTTATATTTGTTCGAGAAACGCTTGCGTAGTGCTCTGAGCTTCATTAAAACAAAAATAACAATTAACAAGTAAAAGGTTCTAGTTGGGAGGTCCCGACTAGGGGATACCCTGAACTCTCTTCTTCCGACAGGCGTTAGGTATAAAATGAAAGATACTTAATATATATAATCTATTCTAGCAGCTACATGTCAAGTTTGGTGAGTGTAGCTCATAAAACCTAAGAGATTTGCTAAAAAAACAAGATTTCGATATCGATTTTTATCGATTACTTGGAAACGGGGCAAGTTATCGAATATCGAAAACAAACTCGATCTGCGCGAGCACTAGGAGGACCTACAGCCAAAATTTCAAGTCTCTAGCTCTTATAGGTTCTGAGATCCTTACGTTCATACATACGGACGGACAGACAGACAGACATTGCTAGATCGACTCGGCTGTTAATGCTGATCAAGAATATATATACTTAAGGGAGTTGGCGATGCTTCCTTCTGCCCGTTACATACATTCGCAATGCATATAAAACTTAAGACGGTTATTCAAACGATATTATGCCAGACAATGTAGCTATAAATTGCATCAAGAAATTTGATTGCAATTCGGAGTCAAAGTTTTTCAAGATATCTTTGAGCAAACTGGGCAAACGCGAGCTTCGCAATTCTACTCACAGGCAATAAAGGCGTTTAACTAAATACTTCAACTTCTTTTCTTTTCATAGAACAAAAGTCTCTGTCAGTCATAAGCTGGCCCAGGGTATCCGAATTTCGGCGCAGACGCCTTAATTTTGTGATTTTATCATTTTTTTTTGTGTGTGTTTTTTTATTTCTTGGTCAGTAGTCGCCGCAGTCGCCGTCGCTGCTTTCACCGTGCGCTTATCGATGTAACTGCAAGTGTCAACAACAATCCACGACAACAACAACAACAACAACAACAACAACAACTTACAACAACAGCGAGAAGAATTGGCTGCCGCCGCGTCACGTAAACGCAACGCCCGCCGCGCCCAGCCTTGACCTAGAGCAGCGCTTCGACTTTGGGCTTGGGCTTTGGGGTCTATGTCTGGAACTGCGACTGCGACTGCGACTGCGACTGGGCCTGGCTCTGGGCCTGGCTCTGGGTCTATGTGAATGTCTGCACACGTCTGGGAAAACGTGCATTAGACGCATTTGATGGAAAGCTGTTCGCATGTTTGCCAGCTACTCGAAGAGCGCAAAGCTTTCTTTAACCAGGCCCAAAGCCATGCGACATTCGGCTAGTGGGCCACACACTCACACACTCACACACACTCACACAGAGTCGCAGCAAATATGCGGATTGAGCAACTCTTTTCGCATAGACTGCGACGGAGTGGGGCACTTTGGCACTCATCTGGCTGCAAGGAAAAACTGCAATTTTTCATTACGCAAAAGAAAACAGGAAAAACAAAATTAAACAAAAAAAAAACCCAGACGCAGCGATTGCCGACTGCGCCATACCCTGCAGCTGAAAACATTTGGAAATCAAGCTGCTTTATTTTGAGGGGGCTCAATGACTCTCCAACTGTAGTCCATGCAAGTTGTGACTTTAAAACTGTTGGCAAAGTAGTTAAAGTAGATGGGGTTTCAGTGACTCTCCAGCTGTAATCCAGAAGAATTGTGGCTTTCAAAGTGTTGGAAAGGCTGATACATTGTTTTTTTTTGGGGCTCCAATGAATCTCCAACTGTAACCCAGCATTCAGTGATGTTACAACTGTTAGAGTAACAACTAACGGTAGCCCAACTGCACTACACAACTGCTACATTTTTGAGTTCAGTGACTTTCCAACTGTAGCCCAGGCCAGTTGTGACTTTCAAACTGTTGGCAAAACAGCTGGCACATTTTTGATTTCGGTGGCTTTTTTACTGTAGCCAAGGCCAGTTGTGACTTTAGAACTGTTGCCTTGAAAAAAGCTGCTTAATGAGGCTCAATGACTCTCCAACTGTAACCCAGTATGCAGTGATGCTAAAACTGTTAGAGTAACAACTAACGGTATCCTTGACCTTCAAACTGTTGGATATACAACTGCTACATTTTTTGGATTCACTGACTTTCCAACTGTAACCCCGGCAAGTCGTGACTTTAAAACTGTTGGCAAAACAGCTGGCACATTTTTGATTTCGGTGGCTTTTTTACTGAAGCCCAGGCCAGTTGTGACTTTAGAAATGTTGCCTTGAAAAAAGCTGCTTAATGAGGCTCAATGACTCTCCAACTGTAACCCAGTCATCACTTTAAAACTGTTGAAGCGTTTTAAAGAGTCTCAAACTGTAATTCAGCAAGTTGTGACTTTCATACTCAATTTTATAGGCATTTATAAATGTATATACCATAGAATAGTTCGATAAATATCAATTTTGAGTTTCAATGTGTTAGGCATTTTTCTGAGAATAAAATTCAAAAATTTTGTACACTTTGCAGATAACCAATATACTCTTTTTGGCTCTCTCGTAACGGGGTATAAAAATGCGTTGTTGTGGCCATTGCTTAACCAAATGAGTTGGCCAAGAACCGACGCATGCGCACGATGACAGCCAAATCTGTACGAGATGCTGTTAATTAAGCCTAAACATGGCACAGATCTAACTTCCCAACAACCCCGCCCCCATCCCTACCCCACCCCCTCCCCCCCGTCCCCGTCCCCGTCCCTCCATCGCGCACCATTTGGGCCATTAGCATTAAGGCAAAGCCCACCGCATTTGACATGAAAAACGGCAGCAGCTTTTGGGCATCCGGCGGGCGATCCACCCACGATCCTTAAATTGTCTGCGCCGCCGACACACAAATACTCTCCCTTAATTCAAATCAACGAGCAGCAACAAACAATCAACAGAAACAACAACCGCAACGAATTTAAGCAGCAACAACAAATTATTTGCTTTAAATATTTATAAACTATTTTTTCGGAAGGCGAACAATTTGTGCGTGGGCGTTGCTGGGGCTTTGGAATAAAAGAAGAAAAACGAGAAAGAAGTGCTATCTTCGGCACACCGAAGATTTAATACCCTTGCAGACCCAACCTTTTCAAAATGCTTATAGTGCTTTGCCCGTATCTAAGAAGCACAGGGAAAATAGTTAATGCCGAGTATGGTTAAGATATCATGAAAAACAAAACAGGTTTCCGTACAACAACTTAATTTTCGACCGATCGTTCCTATGGCAGCTATATGATATAGTTGCCCGATCTGAATAGAATTTTGCATATATATGGGGAGCTTAGTAAAACTAATAAGTACCGAGTTTGGTCAAGATATCTTGAAAAACATAAAAATTTTCCATACAAAAACTTAATTTTCGACCGATCGTTCCTATGGCAGCTATATGATATAGTTGTCCGATCTTAATAGGATTTTGCATATACATGGGGAACGTTGTAAAACTAATAAATACTAAGTTTAGTAAAGATAACTTTATAAACAAAAATGTTTTCCATACAAGAACCTACTTTTCGACCGATCGTTCCTAAGGCAGCTATATGATATAGTGGTCCGATCCAGCTGGTTTTGACATATGAACTGCGTGCAACAGAAAGAGGGACTTCTGCAAAGTTTCATAAAGATAGCTTTAAAACTGAGAGACTAGTTCGCATAGAAACAGACAGACGGACAGACGGACAGACGGACATGGCTATATCAACTCGGCTGTTGATACTGATCAAGAATATACATATATACTTTATGGGGTCGGAGATGTCTCCTTCTATGCGTTACACATTTCACGACAAAATTATAATACCCTCTGCAAGGGTATAAAAAGACACACAAAAAAGAAAAACCAAAAGCCATGAAAGAAGTCAGCTGAGTTACGTCAAAATGCTCGACTAGCAGATACCCTCTAAGTTATAGTGAAAGCGTATGAGTAGAGCTAAAAATAAAATTATAAAAGATATCATAAGCAACAATTTAGAGCCCACGCAAAGAGCACAAAATGCTTCGTAACATATGCTCGACTAGCAGATACCCTGTAACATGTTATCAAGTTGAAAACGCAGCCACTTTGAACAGATGAGCAACAGCTAAGTAATGCTCGATTTTGTACAAAATAACAAATAAGTAATATGAAATGCTCGCCTAGCAGATACCCTGTAACAAGTTCTTAATATCTGAAGAGATGAAATCATGAGTAGACAAAAAGCAAAAATATTTCTTACGAATACAATAAAATTTTATATCTCGGAACTACATAAGGTGCTCGACTAGTAGATGCCCTGTAATTCTACAGCCAACAATGCCAAAACCACGACAATGAAGCATAAAACTTGACGATACCCTGTATAAAGGATTTACAAATAGACATATAAAAAAATCAGTGAGTATTTTGACTGGACCAGCAGATACCCTATATGAGAAATGCATGGTTAGGACTAGAACGACACAAAACATTTTGTTAAATAATGAAAACTGAAAATATTTTCTACTTTTAAGCTTTTGTATCTCAACTGAGTTTCATTAGAATATAGATGGAAGGGGATCCAAGTAAGCTCTGAAAACCAATTCGACCTTCAAGGGAGTTGACTCTGAAGAGGAGAGCAGAAAATGTTCATTACTCGAGATTCTCTGGAACTAAACAGTTCGTGTGCTCCCAAAAAGTGATTATTCAAAATACAAATTTCACTACACTTTTCTTTTACTAGCAAAGAGAAATCCCTACTTAAAGGAAAATCACATATATTTTATATAAGAAAAGCCGGAAATGCCTACGAACGCGAATGGCTTGGTTGGTGGCCCAAAGAAGTTCTACGGCAATGGCCGTCGTCTCAAAGATGGTCTCGAGATCCGTAAGAAGACTTTCCGTACCGATGTACGCCGAACAGCCGCACAATATGATCCTTGGCTGCGCTTGCGCTTCCGCAGCGCGGGCTTGGAGGAGCTGAGACAGGTGACGGCAGCCTTCGCAACCGATATACTGGACGATATGGTGGCCGTGCAGATGCACGGTAGACGCAGAACTGCGGGCGTCAAGCGCAAGCCAATGCGGCGCGTTAGGAAGGATAATGTGTTGCCGAAGCGAGGACGAAGGAAAACAAAAGCTGGCCGCAAAACCCAAACGGCCCGATATAGCAGCCAAGCTGTCGCGGCTAACCAGGCAGCACTGGCAATTCAACCCGGACAACCTGGAGAGCCAGGCTGGCGGAACTAAGCTGTAGGCGGGCATAACTGGGCGGAGAGGGAAGAATGTGACGGGTGTGGGCAAAGGATTTAGATTTAAATAGGAATTAACGTTTTGAATTTCGATTTGTTCGATTTATTCTCAAAATTAAAACTTTGGCAGCGCAAAAAAACACAAATATCGATGTCGATTCTCATTTGATAACTGGCAAATTGTGGAAGTTATTAAAGATTTGAGGCAAGGCTTAGCTGCGCGTGCCATAGAAGCAGCTGCATCCCAAAGTTCAAGCCTCTAGCTCTTAAAGTTCCCGAGTTCGACGCACAGATAGAAGTACAGACATGGCTAGCGGTTGCTTCGGCTCGTGTCGCACGATGTGCCAAAACTAATGATATCCTCTGCAAGCGTCTGTAGAGTAGAAAGGGTATATTGCGTATCAATTAGCTGCAATTGCTTTTGCGCTTCACATTTGCCATGTCGATGTCGATTCTCATTTGATAACTGGCAAATTGTGGAAGTTATTAAAGATTTGAGGCAAGGCTTAGCTGCGCGTGCCATAGAAGCAGCTGCATCCCAAAGTTCAAGCCTCTAGCTCTTAAAGTTCCCGAGTTCGACGCACAGATAGAAGTACAGGCATGGCTAGAGGTTGCTTCGGCTCGTGTCGCACTATGATATCCCCTGCAAGCGTCTGAGTAGAAAGGGTATATTGCGTATCATCAATTAGCTGCAATTGCTTTTGCGCTTCACATTTGCCATGTTGTTGCCGTCTATAGCAAGTGCGGATCTCTAGAACTAGTTGCTCGGACGGCAGGGGCTTGGCTGGGGGGGAAACTAGTTACGCAGAAAATGTGGCAACAGCAACGGGAATGGCCATAAAACAACTTGACTGAACTTTGGCCGCTTGCTGCAACATGAGCTGGCGCTGAGATTGAAGCCGAGTCGAAGTTGCCTCAACCCAAAGTCCAGTGGCAGAGCGAAAGACTGTGCTAAAACTAGATTCGCAACAGATGGATCTTATTGGTAGGGATTAGGCTCCGACTCATACAGCATAAATTGAAAGCGGAATCCTTATTAATTCGTGGGTGCTCATTGTCTTGGCATACGTTCTTTGTAGCTCTTTGTCCAAACCTAGTAAGAATTTTGCCTGGCTCAAATATTTCTAGTCTCAACCATCGCATCTCTGAGAAAGTTCCAACCGAGATTTTGTTCGAAGTGCTGAGTATGTCGAAAATAGCTTGGAAAACAGAATGATTTACCATACAAAAACCTACTTTTCAACCGATTGTTCCTTGTTGCTTTTATTTGTAAATCATCCGAATGTCCATTTAGGATATTTGAGGCTACCATTTTCTCAGGAATTCCGACTAAAAATAATGTTGCCAGATTTAGATGCCAAATTGATATAGAGACTAAACCATGAGCAAAGACACAAACCTCAAGCAAATCCGATAAGATTTGACGGAGTTATGAGGGTGGGAAATTTCGACCAATGTCTGTATAGGATATTTGACATGAATTTTCATTTTTACATGAATTTCGACTAAAAATCATGTTGCCAGATTAATATGCCAAATTGATCGAGAGGTCAAACCATGAACAAAAAGCCAAGCCTTGTGAAAATTGGATGAGATTTGACCGAGTTATAAGGGTGGGAAATTTTGACCTATGTATATATAGGATATTTGAGGGTACCATTGTAACATGAATTTGGACCAAGAATAATGTTGCCAGATTTAGATGCCAAATTGATATAGAGACTAAACCATGAGCAAAGACACAAACCTCGAGCAAATCCGACAAGATTTGACCGAGTTATGGGGGTGGGAAATTTTATGGGGTGCCTTTATGGTTTATATGGGGAGTTATGTCTGTATGGGATAATAGCGGCTATACCCTGGCCTTGCCCGTGGCAAATTTAAAATAAATTCTCTCAAAGATCTTCGAAAATGAAATTTAAACCGATTAGACGGTGAAGACAAAAGTTTCATACAAACGTTTTTCACGATTTTTCCACACATGCGAGTGGAATTCCCCGAAACCTTGTTTTAACGTGTTCCTTCATCACATAAAGTAACTACAATAAAAATTTCAGCTTCCTAGCTCTAACGGCTTGGGCTGCGCGTTGATCACCAATCAATCAGTCAGTCAATCAGTCAGTCAGTCAGTCAGTCTGTCAGTCTGTCAGTCTGTCAGTCAGTCAGTCAGTCAGTCAGTCAGTCAGTCTGTCAGTCAGTCAGGACAAACAGTTTTATATATAGAGATTTCATTTTGCTGCGTTTTTTATTTAAAGTAACAAATTGTGAAATTTAATACCAAAAATGAGGCAAGGGTTTTTTTTATTCTTTTAATTTGAGCGCTGCAAAAAAGCGTTGCATACTTTGCGGCCGCTTTGCGAAATGTTGGGCCGCAACATTGTGTTGCATGCTTTTAGGGTGGCCGCAATTTGAGCTGCCAAAGCGAGAAGCGGAGGAGACGCTTCATCAGCTTCACTCTCACACACTCACACACACACACACACACACTGGGGCATTGTCTGACTGTGTGTGTGTGTGTGTGTGTGTGACGCATTAATATTTTTGAGCTTAATAGCAAAAAGAGGAAGAAGACATGCAAAAAATAAAAGAAAGGGGTTGCAAAAGCGCCAGACAGCAAAAGGGAGCATAACAAAGGGGTTGGGGCAAAAGGGTGGGGATGTGCGTGTGTGTTGCTTGTGTGGGTGTGTTTATGTGTGTGTATGTGTGTGTGTGTGTGTGTGGGTGTTCCAAAAGGCTCGAAGACATACAAATTACAACAGCAACAACACAAAAACACTTGACAAACGGGCAAATGCAGAGTGTGAGGGATCTCTCTCTCTCCCCTCTCCCTCTCCCTCTCTCTCTTTCTCTCTCTCTGTGTGTGCGTGTCTGGGTGTGTGTGAGGCTTAAGCTAAAATCAAAATAACCGCAAGCGTTAATATGCGCCAGCAGACGCCAGAAACAGGAGCAGAGCCACAAGGATTACAGCTTGGGGGTAGGGGTACGGGGTTGCCCCCACCCCCATCACCCCTCTTCCCAGGTGAGACCTCCCACAAGAACATGCCGAGAGGTGCTTTAACATTGTCAAGACCCCTGTCCCCTCCCCCCTCCCCACCCGCCCAGCAAACTTCCTTTCTTTTCCGGCTTTCTTCCTCTTGACTTTGTCTGTGCAAAGACTGAGACGAATATATATTTCAATTTTAAAATCTTTATAATTTGAAGCTCTCCTAATCTCCTGACCTCCTGATCCCTTCTTCTTCTGGGCAAGACTTGTCTCCTTTCTTGCCTTACATATTTTGTCCTAAAATTAAAATACCCTTCGCAAGGGTATAACAACAAGTTCTAGTTAGAGTTTTCGCCAATTGCCAAATTTCAAGGGTTAGTCAAGGATTTATCAATTGGATTTGATTTAACGGCCGACGGATTTTTGCAGAGCACATCGAATTCAATGCGAGCCATTGTTAGCAATAGTTTGGGTAGTGAAAGGGTTATCGATTGTGCTTCGATTAGTCTCAAAGTCATGGAATTGATGCTCAAAGGGTTGAGAGCTGGTGCGGGGGTTGATTTTAAATTGGTCCTTTCGTTAAATTGGAATTCCTATTAATGCAAACCTTTGCAATTTTCGACTTAAAGTGCGATATGGACTTGACAGTTATTGGAATGAATTTAGATGTGTGTATGGCTCTTCAAATGTCTGTTAGAAGTGAATGCCCAAGTGAATTAAATAGTTGTTTTGGCAAGAGTGTAATTTTCAGCCAATAAAAACTTCGAACAGATCAAATAAACGTATAAAAAACAACAACAATAAAAGTCAATTAACTTTTTAATATAAACAAATTCTCCCGTTTCTTCTGAAATCTCGATAAGTGTAACGACAAGTTATCGATAAGAGTTTGGGCATTTTAATTACCAACAATAAATGTACCCATATGTTATCGATATCATTAAAGTTTTTTTAATGACGGACGATAAATGTCCGTATATGTTATCGATAACTTTTTTGGTATTTTAATAACAAAAGACAAATGTTCCTGTTATCGATATAATGTGGGCATCTAAATGATGACGATATATGTATATGCCTTAATGTTATCGATAACATGTGGCTATTTTAATGACTGACGATAAATGCAACTCTATATTATCGATAGCATGTGGGTACTTTAATGACCAACAATAAATGTACCCATATGTTATCGATATCATTTAAGTTATTTTAATGACGGACGATAAATTTCCGTATATGTTATCGATACTTTTTTTGATATTTTAATGACCGAAGACAAATGTACATATGTTATCGATATAATGTGGGCATCTGAATGACTGACGATATATATGCCTAAATGTTATCGATAACATGTAGGTATTTTAATGTCTGACAGTAAATATTATCGATAGCACTAACGTACGTTTCTGCCGACTATTGTTAGCCCCCTTCAAAGTTTTGAGAACCATTCTCAGTAAAAACATTATTATCGATAAAGTTATCGATATTATCAACAGCAACTAGCGGAGAAAATAAGCGAATAAAAAGATTTCTTAACTAAAATAGAACTTTGTCTCAACAAAAAGCTATGTTCCAGTTGTTCGGCCAGGCGAGAACCTGATACGGGCCACATGCCCGCTGGGAAAACGTTTTTATAGGGAACAGTTCCCTGCGTCCACAAATAGCTCCAAATATTGTCGCAAAGCTGTTTGTGAACCTTGAGGAATGATTAATGAGCCAATGTTTGCACTCTGGGTATGCGGGATAGGTGGAACCTTAAACAGCTGTGCAAACAGGAACATTTAACAGCTGCTCCGAGTCAAATCACGTCAGTAAAGTGGGCCAAGCCCCAAACAGGTGCGACCAAGACTGGGCACACAGTCAAGGTCAACAACATCGATAACGATGACGATGACGAAGACACATCATTAAGGGGCACAACTGTTGACTAGTCCCCAGCTCACCCGGAAGAGTGAGAGAGAGCGTGCCCGACTGGGAGATACCCTGAATCCAGCTGTTACAAGCATTCGAACCTTCTTCTAATCAAATATACCATAAAAAAAAAAACACACACAAGTGTTATCGATAACAGGTATTTGAACACACCCAAGCACCAACAGCGCGGCCATGCTTCTTCTTTTCCCCATCGTACACTGTGAGAAATGTTGCCTTGAATGG